ACCCTATGCTTTGTTAAAAAAGAAAGAAAGAAAGAAAGAAAAAAAGAAAGAAAGAAAGGAAAAGAAAATGATAGGTGTTTGGATAGATAGGTGAGAGGGATCTGACCATACTGCAAGTGGATGGACTTACGCTGGGGACCGACTGGGGACACTGACTTGACACAGCGGGCCTTAGCACCTAGGACAGAGTATATGGGTTCCACTGGGGTGGGGGGGGGCTATGAGAGGGATCTGGTGGGGATGGAGCTATAAAGATGATTCAGATTAAGATATTCTGTATGAAATAAAACAAAATTTAATAAAAACAAATTTGTAAAAAAGTTTTAAACATGACAACACTATGTACTATATATAGATGTTTATGTTTATACATTCATATATATACCTCAGCATCCAGTTAGAATTATCTAGCTATATATGTATAGTTTTCTTCAAACACATTACCCATAAATCAAACATTTATAACATCTGCTATTTCCTCAATTAATTTACACTTCCACTTAATGGATGCTGTCAATCTCTAAGCTGGACTGTGAATATGCTGCCCTCCAGTGGGCACTGGACTCATGCGCGTATTTACTATACAGCAGTTCTCAGCTGTGTAGAAGAACTTACATTAGAATAAGAGAAAAATCAGGCAGTGATAGGGTAAATATGATAGAAATATGTTATATGCCAGGATTAAAATGTCACAATGGGAACCACTATTTTGCATAATTAATCCATGCTAGTAAGATTTTTAAATGAATACCTGATTTTTTTAAAGACATGCTTTCCTAAAGTAAAACAGCCAAGGGCAAAGCCACCAGGCAGACAACAAGGTGGAGAGGCACTTGATGGAGACCATGCAGGATTTGCTAATCTGCTGTGTGCTCTGGCACAATGGTGACACCGTCAACACTCCAGTGTGCCTGCCCCCACCTTTTGTCACACATGAAGAAGAGATCGTAGCTGGAAAAGCCACCTGGTTTTCAGAGTCAAGCAGGATTGTGAGTCTGGGGAGCCCTCTCCTGCTTGCTTCCAGTGGTTTTCTACCCATCAGACTGACGACCCCCCACCAGGGGGCCCAAAGTCCAGGGCAATGTTCCCTAAGGTGGGACTCATAGTTTGTTCTCACAGAACTTGCATGTTCAGAGGCTGCAGGAGAAAGGAAAATTAAAGGCAGCCACTGGTAACCAGGTAACTCCTTGTAAAGGACAATAAGCCACAATTTGGCACTCCCTGGTAGATGGGCCACTTTGAACTGCAGGGGCTTGTCCAGGGGACCTCAACCCTGGCCGGCCATGCAGTAATGAGAGAAAATTTCACAGATAAATAATAAAAATCAATCATGTAGGCTGACTACAGCAATTGTCCAAGAGGCCAAAGCCAGACTCTGGGGTCTATACACTGTCCCCTTCCAGGCCTGAGAAGAAAGGCCTAGGTGGTGGAGGCATCTCTGTGGAGGCTCCCATAGAAGTGATCTAGCCATTCAACAATGGGCACACAACTCTGGGGATGGCTGTGTGCTAGAAAGGCTGTTCTAGAAGAAACCTTTGGTCAAAGTCCCAGGAATCCTATGTTCTATTTTAGAAGGTATGAAAATGATATACACTCAGCAGAGGCAGTACTTTGAATTTCATAGTCTTTTAACAAACTACATACAGTCTGATCTTCTCTGACAATGCTACTTGACCACAGAGAACCACATTCCCAGGAGCCCAGGGATCATGGTAAACCAACAACATGCAGGACTCTTGCTTACCTGACTCCTAGCACCTTGGGTGAATGGAATGCATTTTCAGTATAGGGCATTTTCAATACAGAATGGGTTTATTGAGATGTAACCTAATGGAAGTTTAGAAGTCTCTCACTTCATCTTTGGGTTTCTGTGTGTCTCATTGTTTTGTGCTAGAGATAGAGCTCAGGGTCTCATACATGCTAAACTTAATCGATCCCTGAGCCACACCTCTAGGCCAAAGTGATTTCTTTTGGAAGACAATGGGAAACGACAGTGGCTCTCTTTAGATTCCCTGTGAACTTTGGTGAATTTTGTCTTTAGACACTATTGGTGCGACATCAAAACTTCTTCAGATCCAGTGTTGCTCCAGGTAAATGAGTCCAGATGCTAGACAGGAAAGCATGTGTCAACAAGGGCTTACCTCCCTGGGCTCCTTCAGATTATGGAAAGGTTTATTGTTTGCTCAATTATGTGTATTTTTTAATGACTACTAACATCAAAGACTTCTGGGGTATGGGGAAAGTTTTATGCAAAATTCCTTTCCACATACAGCTACTTCTTTGGGGTTACACCGCAGTTGGGAAGCTGCTTTCTCAAGGATGGTGGCTGCTATTCTAAGACATTTCTTAATGTCTGTCTTGGGTTAAAAGGCCCAGGCAGACACTGATTTGTTCTACACTTTCATGATTCACCTTTTGGACTGGGTGCAAAGTCTGAAGAGAGAGTGACAACAAAATTTTATTTGAAAATCTTACTAATTCTGTGTATTTCTTCTAATATTTGGTGTCATGAGGAATAACACAGCACACACTTCTACACAGGCTCTCAGACCTTGCTTCTAATGACCACCTAGAGAAGATACTATCTAGGAATGTCTGCACCACTGTAAACTCTTGGTTTTATATGGTTTGCCATGTAGCTTTCTGTTCCTGAAACAAATACTGAGAGAAAATCAACTTACAAAGAGAAAAGGGTCTTTGGCTTATGGTTTTGGAGGTTTCTATCTGTGATTTATTGGACAGTTGCTTCAGGCCTGTGGCAAGGCAGAACATTACTGCGAGAATTTATGGCAAGGCAAACCTCTTGCTTCATGCCAGCGGGCCAAACAGAGAAAGAAGGTGGTACAGGGTCTCAGAATCCCCTTGAAGGCTGTTCTCCAATGACAGCAAGACGAGGCTACACCTCCCATTGCTTCCCAATAGAGCTTCTCTGAGGGGAAAAAAAAAAAAAAAACCTTGAACACACAGAGGGTTGTTCAAGATTGAGGCTACAGTGCCAGGTTTGAGGTGTGATCCAGTGCTAAACAGAAAGTCTGTACCCCGAAACGACTATGATAGCTGGGCACCAGACTTCCCCTCACCAGCTCATGATCTATACTTCTGCAGTAATTTGTTCTGTCATTTCACTGTTTTTGCTAAATCAATAAAATGCTTTTACCTTATCCCTATGGCCTTAGCACACTAAAATGCAGAGCACCTGGAAGAGAAACTATTTCCACTTCTCAAATGTTGTAGCTGACTGAGAACCTCATTATCAACTTTGCAGCTCATTAGCAGACTTACTCTGCATAAATAACCACTCATTTACTACCACAAGTTGCTCTGGCACTCATCTTTCCTGGCCTTCCTTCTGGGCATGGCACTCTCAAGATGGTACTGAAAAAGCTCTCCTAGATCCAGTCAGAATGTGGCAGCCCTCCAATGCCCAAATGTGATGGATTAAGCAAGGATGTTTCTTGAATTACGGTTGTCCCCTTGATGACTGTGTGACCTTGAGGTGATTGCCCAACTAGTCTGAGCCTTATGCTGAGCATGAGTGGTGTTGGTGTCCCCTACATCCACTGGCAGGGCTCTTTGAGGACCAGAGGAGCCTATGTCTGTGGCTTGAACACAATTAACAGTAAGCATCCCCTCTCCTGCCTGCTCCCCTTTTCCACAGTGGATTTAACTCCATTCCTCACACAGACAATGGTGTACCATAGGGTGGCATTATGTTGCTTCAAGTAAAGCTACATGTTTTATTAGGTATGGAATCTAACTTTGGAGATGAGACTCAAGGACAGTAGTCTAGTGGGATGGGAGATATTTTTATTTTATGAACAAAACACAGTTATCCTCATAATAACCCAATGTTTCATCCCAATACTGGGTGGCCCCCTTGCATGCCTCATGGCCACAGCCTATCTTGCACCTCTCTCTGCTCACAGAGCTGAGACTGTATTATGTTTCCCTCCATACCCTTTAATTTACATAAGATACTGACTCAGCTTCTCATCATATCTCTGCAACGCCACCTCGTGTCTGTGGGTACAATAGATTCAAGGTCAATGTAAAGAAAAGCAAAGAGTTAGACAGAGAATGAATTGCCAAAGTACGTTCAAGGCTCCATACCACAGCTCTTGTGCAGGGCTGCTGCAAGTTCTCTTGCTGTCAGACCGGTTTAGGACACTATGCCATGTGTCCCTGATGGCAAATACCAGAAAACACAAACCCCAAATATGTCAATAGCAAGATTATTTTCCATTATGATTATATGTTAAAGTTCATTGTGAAAAACTCCTAATAAAATTAATTCACAAATACCTAGATGAATGTGTGTGACTAGGAAACTTGGCCTTAGGGGGTTTTGTTGTTGTTTTATATAACTTTGAAAACATTTCCTGGGGCCTACTTAGATCTACATGGAAACTGAAAAGCTATAAAAGAGTCTTTCTCATTGGTCAATTTGTTGATTAATTAAGGCCAATGAAGAATTCAGAATAAAAGTGTGACTAATGATCATTTTAAATTATAAATACTAGAATTTATCTTCAGCATTGAAATGTTATAAAGACTCATAAAAATGGGCTTTGAACCCTTGAAAAAAGTTGTACAACTTCAACAAAAATGGATTCACTTTAGGTTTTTAATAAAATTTGTATGAAATAAAATGTTTTCATCTTTCATCATCTGAGTCACTAATTCCAAGGATGTTCTTGAGGTTGAACCAAAAATGAAACAAAAAATGAGAACAAATACTAGTAACTGTGAGCCTACTGAAGCCCTGGGAAACAGACCAGAGCCTTAGCCTGAGCAGCTTTCAGGGTACAAGCACACACTGAGCCTGTGCTTCTCTCTCTCTCTCTCTCTCTCTCTCTCTCTCTCTCTCTCTCTCTCTCTCAAACACACACACACACACACACAGACATACACACCACAGTACTCTAATCCATCTTCAGACCCACTGGGTCCTGGGACCTTGGATGTCCTGGTTCAAAACCCCAGGATGTTGGCCTGCTCACCGCATAGTGTAGAGAAGTGTACCGTCATCCTCCAGTCTCAGCAGCTTGTTGGGTGTGGTCATGTTGTGTGCAATGGACTTCTTCCCGTTATGGAAGAAGGTGTCTGGAGTCCAGATTTTGCTGGCAAGGAGATTGTTGAGAGGCAGACGCTGCATGGGCCCCTTAAACCGCAGCCTTTCATCCTTCCAGCTTTGTCGGAAAAACACATCTATAGTGTATTCCTAATGGAAAGGAAAGCAGCAGGGTGACCTCTCAGGGGGAGAAATCCTTATCACAGTTCTTTCAATGAGAGAATTCTCTGTGTGAGCCATGCCTTGGTACTTACCATTTCTGTGTCAGACACGGGGCCAAAGCTGGTGACATAGATGTCTGTCCGCACCTGCGTGATTCGCTCTGAAACAGAGAGAGTGGTTGCTGTGCACCCCTTCCACACCATGTACCTCCTCCACATTATGTTGATGTCTCAGTATAGTAACCAAGTTTTGCTCTTTGTAAGTACAGAGCATTTATTTGCTTTGTAAATTTGGAGGACTTGATCAAACACTCAATGGACCTGAGCTGCTCCAAACTATGATGTAAAGAAGTACCCATCATAAGAGGAAAATGGCCTGTCTCTCATTATACTTCTGCCCCTGAGGGGTGTTCGTCAACAGATGGGGGCTGAATCCTGGCTGAGAGGCATTTTCTGGTGCACTCCTAAACCTGGAGCCGTAAAGCCAGCCTGCTGTGCATCACCGTGCCCTCCCAGCCAGCTATTACTGGGAGGAGTTGCACAATTCAGGATGAGGGGGGAATGGTCACCAATCAAAACTGGAAGCACTGGATGGACTCAGGAAAGGACTAATGATAAAGGGCTTTGGTGCACCACAGGTACAGTCTGAAAAAAATGACCCACCTCTCCTGATATGACATTTTGAATTGTTAAAAACTCCTGTCATGAGAGGCTGCTATTTCAATTAAAGTTATGGGAATGTACTGAAATGATGAAAATTGTCAATTAACACCAGGGGAGGGGCTCAAGTGTTCCTTGGGTCATGAGCAGACACTAAATTTAGACATTCAGAATACACCACACCCCTCACCACAACACCCCAAGCTACCTGATGGTATAGTGGGTACAAATCATTCCCCACAGCTGTGGGTGATCATCTACTTACATGGTGTGTGCTTATCATGTTTGTGCCATGCTGTTTCTAGTGCTTGCCTCCACAATAAAATGCAAGTCCCACTGCACCCTCCAAGCCAGGGTGACCCATCAGGCACTACTGAAAGGGGAGGACCTCTACCCTGCAATGTGGTCTCATAGGCTGCCTGCACAAGAGAATTCTGCAAGAGTTGACCCAAGCTCAGCAGTCCTCTCTGCTTTGACCCTCTTGAATGTGTTCATAGAGAGGGTTGCTGGGCACGGAACCTCATAATGTCATTTAGATGTGCAGAAAGATGTCAGCAAGGCTGAGAGGACTTTTCTTGCAGAAAAGACTGAGAATACAAGCCCATGTGTTCTGTAAATCTTCATTAAAATGCAAATATTAGAGAAATCAGCATTTCCTCCAAGAATGCATCTGGCAGAGGTTCTAAACTCACCTAAGAGAGGAAGTTCAAAGGCACCACACATAAATTGTAAAATCCAAGCATACTGAGCGACCCTGGAAACTGCAATCCAATTCTCAGCACAAAATTAAGTGGTACCAAATGTGTCCCAAAAGTATAATCCCCTATCAGTTTAGTTTCTGTCAACTTCCTGAGTGAAAGCAGTCGCCCCCTATCTGCACATCCATTTCCTGTGGCTTCAGTCACCTATAGGTTGTCCAAGCCCAAAAATATAAATGAAAATTCTAAAAATAAATAATTTACAAATTTTAAAAAGCTTGCATTGTAGTATTTAGTTATAATTATTTTGTTAACAGTTGAATTAATTGTTTGATTTGCTTGTGACTAATCTCTTACTGTGCCTAACTTATAAATTAAGCTGTGTTGCACGACAGGGGTGCACTCACATACATGCAGGCAATACACTCATACACATAAAATTTAAAAAATAATAAAATTTAAAAAATTAAGCTGTATTATAGGTTTGTATGCATAGGAACAAGCAAAGTAGATACAGAGTTCTGAGGTAGTCACTGGGGTTTGGAAGACTTAGCCTTTTCAGTCAGGAGAGAGTATTGTAAATTACTATAGCTAGGGCCAGAGTGAAGTAAATTCACAACATATAAAGATCCAGAGAACAGCTACAAAGACAGCAGACTTCTGACAAGGACTTACAGATGCGAGAGCACAAAGATTTTTATATTATTACTTTAAAATATTTTATTTATTTTTATTTTATATGTATGAGTGTTTTGCTTGCATCAAGGGCACCTGTGCATGAAATGGCCGCATAGGCCAGAAGAATGCATTGAATACAGAACTGTAGTTACATATGATTGTTAGCCACCTGTGGGTGATAAGATCCGAATTCAGGTCCTCTGCAAGAGTGGCCAGTGCTCTTAAATGCTGAGCCATCTCTTCAGCCTCTTTTATGTTATTTCTTAACATGGGGCATACTCAGCTTTAACAGAACCTAAGAACGTGATTTCTCCCTAAGTGAATCAGAATAGACTATCAGATTATCTGGAAAGAGGGGAGTTTTCGGGGTCAGGTTAAGGAGACTACTTCCCCCAGCTCCTTGCCTCTGGAAGATGCTAACAAAGGGCACAGGAGAGAGAAACCCTCCACTCAAAATCCTGGCATGGTAGCTCTTTCAGAAACTGTCTGAAATCCAGCAAGCATAGCCTTATGGCTGAGGGTGAGCTTGTGAGATCCTCACCAGCTTCATTTGGAAATACACTCACCTCCCAGCCCAGGCCGTAGTCTGTTGTCATAGCCATCCAGAAGCCCGTCCAAGATCCTGGTGAATATGGTGATGTTGTCATTGGTCTGATCTTTTACAGAACTGGTTGGCATCTGGGAAAAGCTTTTTAAAAGATACATGAAAGGCAGAGGAAATTTATATTGCTTCTTATGAATATTTTTCAAGACAGTAACACAAGACTCATAGGCATCTGGTCTTGGAGTAAGGGCATCCAAGAGGGAACCTCCCACCAGACCCCAGGTTCCCTTAGTAAGCCCTGGATCTCAGATACGCTTAGTTCTGCTATGGGTGGAATGGCCATCAACCTAACACCATTCTCAAGATTTGCTACTCACTGTTGTTTCTGATTAGCTGTTTATTATCAATGCTTTCGCCAGTTTAAAAAAAAAAAAAAGGTCTCCTCTTGGTGTGGTAGCCTTTAATCCCAGCACTTGGGAGGCAGAGACAGGTGGAATTCTGTGAGATCCAGGCCAACCTGGTCTGTATAGAGAGTTCCAGGCCAGCTGAGGCTACAGGGAGACCGTGTCTCAGAAACAAACAAACAAAAACCCACAACAACAACAAAATTAGCCTCTGTACATGGACTAGAAGAACGATGAAATCACCAGGGATTCCAGAATTTTGGTTTAAATCAGAAAGACAGAGTTTGCAAATCAGCAATGGGCCGCTAGCAATGGGCCCCCAGCAAAGGGCCCTGAGATGTGCAGAGGGATGTTGAATCAATTTTTTAACCTAAGTTGGAAGCTAGATAGGTGAGCCCAAATTTCACTGAATTCTTATGGGGTTAGGGGCATCTGCGCTTTGAATAAGATGCCTGGGCTACAGCATGTGGTAATAGAAATGATGGGCTTTGTGACATACTTGGGGAAATTATTCCCTTTGAGACTGCCTGCTGCGGGCCACATTTTCTGTTGATGACCACATTTTCTGTGACCCAACATGTCACAGGTACAATAAAGACCCCTGTAAGAGCAGACTGGCCCTCAGGGAAGAAATAAGAACATTCTGAGTTTATCCAAAGGAGTAAAGCTATCCAGACTCCAAAAGTATATGCAGGTGGAGCAGATGGAAGCCAGAATCGATCTGTTTAGATTCAATCAATGAAAATGAGTGATTTTCAAGAAGTGGGTAAGGCAGGCACACATCAGCTCTGACCTCAGCATCTGCCTAGAGAAAACCTAATCTCCTGAGGTGGCTATGAGGGGAACAGAGTCTCCATGCCCAGAAGACCTGACACATCAGAAGACCACAGATCCTCCTCGGGTTCCAATAGCAGCCTTCGTGTGCGCAAACTTCACTTGATTTACAAACTGGGCTTGGCTTCACTGGCTTCAAGGGAGATTGTTGGAAGAAATCCAGCTGTGGATCCCAAGAAATGAGCTCTCTTGGCATTTGAAAAAAGAGCACATGATTCCTAGCACTTCCCTGAGAAGCCTGGCTGCAGGAAGCGAGCTCTGCTCAAGCACTTTCTCCCATGCATTGGCTGAAATCAAAGTAGAGCTGCCATCCTTCTGTGAGAAGCCAAGGTCAGAATGGATGCCCCTACCCAACCCAGTTCTTGAAAACCAGCCCTTTTCATTGATTGCATCTAAGTAGATCAATCCTTTGCTGGCCTCAGAGTGATTCCTTTTTGAATAAGCATAAAATTCTTTTGATCTAATTTTCACATCACATTAAAATGCATAATTGAAGCTGTAACAAGCTAAAATTCAGTTCTGTTCCTATGGAGTCCACAGACATGGGTATTTTACTCTGTGATTTTGTATTTTAAAATATTATGCTCCCCTTTTTCTAACATCCATAGCAATCTCACACTTCTGAGCAAAGAAGGAAGACTTCCACAGCTAACACTAGAATGAAATGCCTTGAGGTATTTGGGGCTGCTGAAGCATGGCCTTGCTCACCTGTGTACTAACTGGTCACACCAACTCTGGCCTCGTGGTCTACTTCTCATAACATTCCTAGCTTATCAGACTGGTTATACATCTTAGGCAATGTCCAGGTGCCTGACTTTGGAAAGTTCTCACTACCTCTTCAACATACAAGCTGAGGTGTGAGAATATGAAGCAGTAAAAAAAATCTCACCTCATGCATGAATTCATTTTTTGATATTTCAACTACGTGACGTCAACTCCTGTTCAAAAGGCTTAAATGGAAAAATTCCAGAAATAAGCAATCCAGAAGTTTTAATCTGCATATTCTTCTGAGTAGTATGATGAAATTATATGAGTCTTCACATTCTTTGACCAGAGTATCCATGCTATATACACTACCTGCTGATTAACCACTTAGGGGCTGTCTCAGTTATGAGGTGGACTGTCACATAAATATTAGGTAGAATGTCAAATAACATTTATGTTAATTAATAATTGGCACTGAAGTACAAGGGACCTTGGCAAATTCATTACAGTGTGTTGCTGCAATTGTTCTAGTTTATTCTCACTGTTCTTAATGTGTTCTCTTAGTGGGCCTGATTTATAAACTGAATGTTACCACAGGTATGTATATGTAGAATCTAGTATTGTCCTTGGTCTTGGGCATCCACTGGAGGTTTGGGAACAGACCTTCCCCAGCTAAGGGACAATTACTTCACATTCAACCATTCAACGTAACTTTTCTAAGCTAGTTCACCATCTGTTTTTAAAATGCTCTTCAATTACATTAGATCTTATCCCTGGCTATTAAAAGAAAAAGAGTTGTTGGTATCATTGGCCATTTTTACAACTGTGGGTCACAGTAATGGCTCAGAATCTGGCTTTCCTTGACTCTCTCTGAGGAGAGACAGGCTCATAGGCACAGTGTCCCCCTCAGCTCTGCTCTCACTTTACAAACACCAAAATCACCTCCAGTGCCAGGGATAGATAGGATGCTTATGAATTCCAGAGATCAGTTTCAGAACTCATTACTAGAGACAATTTTTAAATACATTAAAAATTGTCTGCACATGTTGGGGACCTTTGTTGTGTAAAGTAGAAGTTTCTTCATGTCTGGATAGCTCACGAGCTCAGAGCCATATGCAGAGACTCCTTTCACAACAGGGCGTCTTCCCGGCATTTTTCCTGACTCCTTTGTGAAGTAGCAGCCACAGGAATGTAGCCTCCGGCTCTGTAACTATTAGGCTTTCCTGTGTGATTTTCAAGCAGTTTGGCAGCCTGGCGGGAGCCCATTTCCACACGCAAATGAGGCATCCCCAAAGTACCTATCAGCTGAAGCTTTTACCACTACCCCCACGGTATAAAGTTCCATGATTCCCCTCAATAATTGAAGGAGCTGGATCACTCTGGGGCACTGAGGCTTGGAGCCACGCAGAGCCATTGAATAAAGAGCTGTAACACTGGGTCTGACTGAGCTGAGTCTTGTCTCACTGCCTACGATCCAGCCTTCCCAGGAAGAGCTGTCTTTCCGTCACCGACTCACGGATCCCAGCTTTAGCCGCCCTCACACTCTCCCGTGTGATCCAGCGGCCGGTGGATTTCGCATCTTGAGGAAAGTACATGGGTGAAATTAGTGCGGGACACGTCTGGGCAAAGCCCCCAGCAGCAGAGAGCCACGGAAGACGCAGGGAAGCAGCGCAGGAGCAGATACCCGCACACCCCACACCTGGCGCCCAGCGTGCCCCATATGCACACATTTTCCTATAATGACTCCTTTCTTAGAGAGATTTCAGTATCTGCCCTTTCTTGCCATAATTGCCTACTGTATTCGTCTTTGTTCTTCATGTGGCAACATTCAGGGCAAGGGTGTCTGGAGTGTTACATTTGTTGCATTAACTAAAGTCAGGAGGCAGGAGTAGGGAACAGGTGCTAAGAAAAAAAATCCTTAGAAATGCTTCTTGGGGAAGGAATTTGAGTTTTGGTGGTGTTGTTTTAGTTTTCCCCACAATCAACCTGCAAAATGTTTTATCTGCAACAGACAGTTATGCAATGACCATTCTCACAGCCTGAGGAGGAAGACACTTGCTTTATCACAGACCACAAGTGCTGTTTGTTGGCTTAGCCTTGGCACAGTGCCTCCCTTCACCCCACAGATGTCTGTGGACTTGCTTCTGTCTCCATCAAGCTGCACGGTCCTCAAGGGCTGCTTCTAAGGCAGAAAGTAACTTCAGCTTGCTCTGTTCTGCTTTGGCTCATCAAAAGTATTTTTAAAACAAAATGGTTAGGACCTTCTGGGGTCTGTGTTTGATGGGCAACAATGTGACAGGGGCCCCAAAACAGAGTCACGGGTGTCTACCTCTCATACACGGGCTTAAGTTTAGTTCACCAGGAAAGCCTGGTCACCAACCACCTTGAGCTCTTAATCCTGCTGAGTGTATCCAAGGGAGTCTGTTCACTTAGGACAACCATGGATGAGTGTCTTCTTCAGGGACAAGATAAAGATTCTTTGGAGGATTGGATATTTGTGAGGTGACAGTAAATCTGTTATTACAGACAAGAGTCTTCAGTATGAAAGAAATATTGAAAATTTTAGGACTTTACCCTTCAATTATAGTCAAGGCTAAATAGTTAAATTCTCTTACAGTGTGAGAACATGCTACATTCACTCCATGTTCTAGTTCTAGTATTTTCAGAGTTTTTGATATTCCAGAAAGGGGATCATTAAGAAAATACAGATGTGGCTCAGTATGGAAACCAACACCTATGGGCTCATGTCCCTAATGTGCCTGTGTGGGATTTGCATAGCATCTCCATACCCTCCCTTATATCCTAATCATCTATCAACACCCAGTACAGTGCGAACTTATGCAGACAGTTACTATATCACATTGCTTAGGAAATAGGGCAAAGAAAAAAGTCTGCATGCGCTCAGTACAGAAGCTATTTTTCCCAATATTTTTTTATCAGAAATTGAAAAGGTATGGTCACATTCACAGATGCAGAATTCATAGATATGTTGGGTCAACTGTATAGAATCAACCAGTTTTTAAATATCATTACTTTTTACATTCCTTTGCCTAGGAATTGTTAGTTTATACAAAAAGACAGAAGGACTCGATCCAGTTACTCTTTCTGGTAATTTCAGTTTGAGGAATAAAGAAACGACACAAATGAACCCCATTTTCTAGCCTAATGAAGGTGTGGACTGCAGAACAGGCAGAGACACTC